AATAGAGGATAAAGATGTAATAAAAATGTAAGTTGTGATAACAATGGAAATCTTAACTACTTTAAATAGGTTGAATATACATCATTTTAATCGTGAGATGAAGTTTATGGATTGTAGACTTATGTTTGACAGAAAATGGAAAAGATTAATAAAACATACTGTTGGCTGACTTTTGTACCAGCATGGCAATACGACTATTGCTGGTGGGGCATTTTAAAAGTCCATTGAATTGAGAACAGCAATTAATGAGAATTAGTATCAGTGATGGCTTGTGTCTTTGTTAAGCCTTGTTTCATTGTTGAAGAACAGTTGTGATAGGGCAGATTTCTTTCAATATGGTATCACCTAAATGAGCTAGAATGCGAAAATGTGCTGGAATAATGAAATGTCTTTGAAGCTACTGCCCAAAATTCTATTTCCCAAAATGTTTGGATGTAATTATCCTAATCTAGGTTTAGAACAGGTTTGTTTTCTGGAAGCCAGTGAAGAATGGAGATAAGACATATAAAACCTTGAGTAACTGGAGATGGCCTATTAGGCAACTTTCTTTGGAATTCCTAAATTACACAAAGGTAACATCATCCCAGTGGAGAAATACTTTGTCTGAGATGTAATAATATTCAAAATGGCATGTGACATATCATGTGCTTTATCTATTTTAGGCAGCTAGGTGATAACTAGTGTTCAATTTTTAAAAAGGAAGAAAATATATAGAGACCTTAAATTGACATTAGAACCAAGTTATATAAATGAAAAGTTAATGAACAATAGAAATATTTGGATACATTTATACATAATTGCACATTCTTCTACTATGATATTCCCACTGATGCAAATAAATATTGGCTGAGTTCATATAACATGCTAAATCATAAATCTGAATTAATAGAATGCAATTGCTATGTTCAGTTAACATGTTTAAATTCAGTCAGCCAAATTATTTGGGTTTAAAAGATGACTTGTTCACACAACATTTTAATACAACTGCTATGGTAGATTCCCACAATAGCAGATTAACTTTCAGAGGGAAGGGCAGAAAGTCAGGAACAAGATACTGCTCTTAATTTTGTTGGGTGGTAAAAATATCCTACTGTAACAATTGTAAATAATAAGGAAACATGAACTTTCCTACAATGATATAACAAGGTACAGTTAGAATTTATTCAAAGTTTTATGAATAAATAACTAGATCAATGAGAATTAATTACAGGTTAGTATAGCTCTTAAAGCAGTTATGTCTTTTTTCAGGCAAAAACCTGAAAAAAGGTATATTTATTTCAATAAGTAGTAGGATGGAGCTGCACTCATGAGAGTTCTGAAGCACATCAAAGCAGTGATGAAATCTAAAATTTGTTACTACCGGTTCTGTGGGCGTGGCTTGGTGGTGGGGTAATGTGACTGGGTGGGCGTGGCCAATTTTTTTTTTTAACTTTTAAAACCATTTTTTCTACAACCTCTTCGGTAAAAAAATGCTTTAAAAAGGCTGACGATCCCAGCTGAGTTGCCTGATCGGCAGAGGCTTTTTAAAAAAGCCTCTGCCAGTTAGGCAATTTAGCTGGGATGGTCAGAGGCATTTAAAAGAAAAAAAGGTTTTTTTTCTTTTAAAAGCCTTTGACGATCCCGGCTGAGCTGCGCGATCATCAGAGGCTTTTTTTTTTACTTTTAAAAGCATTTTTTCGGCCGAAGAAGTTGTAGAAAAACTGCTTTTAAAAGTAAAAAAAAGCCTCTGATGATTGTGCGGTTCAGCTGGACATGGTGGGGGGGGCAGGGATTTTTGCTACTGGTTCTCCGAACCACCCGCCTCCATTGCTACCAGATCGGGCGATCCGTTCCGAACCGGGAGCATATCACCCCCGCATCAAAGTATTCACAGCTCGTGATGGAGTCCCCTGAATGAGTTCACATGTTATTGTGGGCATTTTTCCTGTCAAAACTCTTTAATAAATAATTACATTAAAATCCCATGATATAAGAAAATAGAAATCTATCTCACGAGTTTTAAGGGATTTTGTTTATTTTTTAATTTTTAATTTAGAAACAGAGTTTTTCTTTATATTGAAGTATATGCAGTGTATGCATATATCAAGTATATGCAAAACAAGGTTTTTTGTTCTAAACTTCTTTTTAAAAAATGAATGACAATATGAATTTACAGTAATCGTAAAACCTGATTTTAAATGATGAACTTTAGCTTTCACATTAAGTTTTTAAAGAAGAGGCTGGATGTACTAGCAGCAGATTTCCTGTACAGGTAAAAAAAATGTTATATCACTGTACTTTAATATAGCATTTTTAAAATCTTATTTTATGAAGCAAAAATTTAAAAATTGTTGTGGTTCAAAAGTTAAGCTCTCTAATCATTCTGTAGAAAATTCAACTCCTTTAGCAATTTTTTCTGTTGTCAAAAGCTTCAATTTTTAGGCAAAATGAAAATCAAATAACACAAAAAGCAGAGGTATTCTGAAAAATTATATGACACCCCTAAATTATGATATAAGCAGTTCTGCCAATGTTTTTGGGTTAGAGTTTATGGTCAGATCTTAGAAGTGATAGGATTTGTATAATAATTTTATTAGTTCCATACAGATAATCCTCAAGGTACGACAGGCCATTTAACAAATATTTGAAATTATGATAGACCCTTCCCCCCCCAAAAAAAGCTACATATTACTTCAAAGTTGTGATGGCTGCAGCATTCCTGCAATCATTCACCCTTATGACCAACCACAGGGTTGTTGCAGTGCCCTCCTGTTTCTCTCCCCACATCCCACTCTGCCAGGGCCCTGCAGCATTTGGGCTTGCTCCTCACACGTCCATCATGCCCCATACTTTCTTCTGAAGCTCTCTGGACCTCATGTTGGGAAAGCAGGATAGGCCATGTGTCTCTGAGCTACGTGGTGGCAATCTAAATGTGGTTCCCACTTTGTCCACCCACTTATGGGAGGGGACATAATGGCGGCTGCCAGAGAAACTGCTTCATTTTACTGCCTTAGAGAGATGTGCACAGTGCCACAGAAACCAGATTTTTTTGTTACATTTCCAACATTTACTAGACTTATTTTTGAACATTTTGGCTAACCTAGCAGGTGGTAGGTACCATTTATAAAACATGTAAATTTTCTTGATACGAAGTTGCCATTGTTACTTTATAATTTCTTTCCCGTTTATTTTGCCACTTCTCTAGTTCTATGTTATGTCCAAAGTTTTTTGACCACTGTATCATTGTTTCTTTTACTTGTTCATCTTCCATTTTCAAAGTTAGTAGAAAGTTATACAGTTTCTTAATCAGTTTTTCATTGGAATTCAACAATAGCTGATCTTCTGAAAGGTTCTGCAGCAAAACAAAGCACTGCTGGGCCATGCAGCAGTGACCCAAATGCAGCCACCATTTTGTCCCTGCCCACAAATGGGGGCGGGAGGGGAAACAAAAGGGTGGCCACCAGACAAACTGCTTCATTTTATTCCTTAGAAAGGTCTCCACTACAAGTTTATTGGCTGCAAACCTATTTTTGCTTGTGACACCTCAAAATATGAACTATTTATTATACTTAGAAAAGTTAAATAAGTCTACCTCTATCTATCTTGAGACTTTGGATATAATTGTGTCTTTATTTGCCAGAAAATATGAATGAAAGGAAACAAAAGAGAGATATTTTTTTAGCCAATATCTTAAATTCATTTGCTTAAGTCTAAATGGTATCCTCAGGATACCGTATAGTAGCTAAAAGAAGTATCCAAAGCCAAATCTTAAAGAAGAATACTATCTTAAGAATGAATTAAATTTTAACTTCAGACTTTCTCATTACTTGCATTTCCATTGTCCAAATGTGGTTTAGATGTGCTGGAATATCTGGAGAGCATCAGTTTGGGAAATGCAGGCTTTGGGTTCCTTTGTCATGCATGAATACTGTGAAGAAGCAGATTTTCTCTAAACTGTATCCTCTATGAATAATACTGTCACCCCTGTTAATACTCAAATTTTGCACTGAAATTTGGGGAAAATTATACATTCTTTGTTCATAGATCTTTGACTATATGAAGACTACAGGTAGAAAAAGAAGCTGACAGAAATAGCTGTGTTTTCACCATAGTAACTGTACTCATTTGGAATATAAATTCAGTCTTTTACACAGGTAGCATCGACTTACAACAGTTCATTTAGTGACCATTCAAAGTTGCAACACTGAAAAAGTGACTTATCACCATTTTTCATACTTATGACTGTTGCAGCATCCCCATGGTCACGTGATCAAAATTTGGACAGTTAGCAATTGACTCATATTTATAATGGTTGCAGTGTCCTGGGGTCATGTGATCACCTTTTGCAACCTTCTGACAAGTAAAGTCAATGGGGAAGCCAGATTCATTTAACAATTATGTTACTAACTTAACAATTGCAGTGGTTCACTTAACAACCGTGGCAAGAAAGGTCAAAAAATGGGGCAAAATTCACTTAACACATATCTCACTTAGGAACAAAAAATTTTGGACTCCATTGTACTTGTAAGTCGAGGACTATCTGTATATCCATTGATTGCGCAAGACTGAGCTCTTAGAAAATGATAAAAGGAAATCACGTTGGAGTTATGGTATACCACCCCTCCATTTTCATAGTAGGTGGAAGAAATTTATAGTAATTTGGTTAGATTTACTGTACGGTACTACTATTACATTATAACATTTACATAGTAGTAAATGTAGCACAGTAATAGTTTACTGGTTTACATGGTAATAAAATTACATAGTAATATAGTATTATATATTAATACCAGAACAAAAAGTTAGGTAATATATTTTTGGAGTCCAAACTCATGTAATTACAAGGAAATATGCTACATACCTGAAGCCACATGGTATAATTTGATGACATCCTATTTTAATTTCATAAGACTTTTCTGTTCCTGTTCCTGCTGTTCAGAAAAACTAATGATAAAAGGATTTAATTGATCCACTTTTCATTTTTTTCTTAGGATGATCATAACACTTACTATTTTTCACAGGCCTCCAGAGTTAGTATCAAAATACGGTAATATCTCAGAGGGCGTTTGCAAGCCTGGGTATGCTTCTGCTTTGATGACTGCCATCTTTCCAAAGTAAGTGACTGATCCTTTGTAATACCTAATTCTGTTCTCTTACTATAATGTTCTAAATATGTGATGAAATATTTACCTTAATTAAAATGAATTTCAGAACTATGCAATGCTGTTTTAATGATGCAAAAATAAACAAGGAACAGTATATGTACATAATGACTACAACTAAATGAGATATTTTTTCATTTTATCCTTACATTCCCATATTTTCTAATCATATGTGAATTTTAGATTTTATCGTATAACTTTAAACTGTATTGTATACCATGATTAATCACAGCAGGTTATAGCATCCTCTGCTGATCTTGAAAATGTTAGCTAGAGTTAGATCAAGTTTGAGAATATTTTAAACAAAAAATTATGATAGAAGGCAATGGCAAAACATTTCATATTTTTGAAGGAAAATTGTATGGCTGAATCTGTGGGGTTGCTAGAAGTAAAAATTGACATTTTCACAGACCATTTTAAATGCTTCTAAAGTCTCCATTTAATTCAACAATGCTATATGATCATATGCAATGTTTTTTTTTCAATGATTTTTTTGTATGATACCAGTTATGATGTGAAAAAATTGGAACGGATAAGGCAGAAAAAGGTTTTTCATTCATTGAATGGGTTGTGTCAGAAATTAGTGAAATTTTAATGGAGTTACTATGTTTCCATTTGTTGAATTGAATTTTTTTTTTAATTGGTAGTTTTGGGTGATTAAGAACAGCTGTGACAGAACAGCTTTTGACCTTTGTCTGAAAATAAGTCTGGCTTTCTGTGCTTTATGAGAACCTCCAGGCCTATGTGGTTATTCTGCAGTGTAAGGGACCAAGCATGATAAGGATCTTTTGCCCTTCTTCAAACTTGAAAGAAAGAGCCTGAAACCATTACATACCAGTATACAATTCTCAGCTGGTGATGTTTTCCAACATATAGTTTCCTTAGAGTAACATTTGCAGTATAACCACTTTTTGATGTGGCATTTCTGGGCTATGATAGGAGCACATTATATTTTGTAGTTTTATTTCTTTTGGATTTTTTGTCAGTTTCCTAGTTTTCCTAGTGAACATAGAAACATTTGGATCCGCTGTCAACAAAAACCCTTTTGGTTCTCTAGAATCTAAATAAATCTATTTAGCGATATCTAGAGATTTTTACTGTGCCTCTCTTGTTGCTTTGCTTTGTTTGCACATTCATATAACACAATTGAGAGCCAGTGTGGTGTAGTGATTAAGGTGCTGGTTAGGATAAGGGAGATCCAGGTTGTAGTTCTCCTTGTACAGTACACAAAAGCAGTCAGGGTGATTTAGGATTAGTCACTGTCTTTTGTCCCTAAACGGAGAAGTTGAAAACATCTAGCTATCAGCCCAAAGTTGAACAGTGTGGGAGACTATCGCCCATCTACTTTAATAAAGAGGGTTTTACTAAAATATGATATTTATTATTATAAGGGGCGCGGTGGCTCAGTGGCTAAGACGCTGAGCTTTGTCAATCGAAAGGTCAGCAGTTCAGCTGTTCGAATCCCTAGTGCCACATAATTCATAAGTCATCTTATATGCAAGTGTGTGAGAGAACCCACCTTCCTATCCTATTTATTTGACTGGACAATCACAAAAGAAATTGGATAATCTTAGGCTGTTCTCCACCTCAGTTGAATGTTCCATATATGTCATTCTTAAATGAATGGGGAAAGAAAGTAATTCTTCACACTAATACTTGTGGCTATAATAGCTATTAGTTAATATAACTTGAGTATGTGGTGGCTCTGGGGCTAAGACGCTGAGCTTATCGATCGAAAGGTTGGCAGTTCAGCGGTTCAAATCCCTAGTGCCGCATAACAGGGTGAACTCCCGTTACTTGCCCCAGCTTCTGCCAACCTAGCAGTTCGAAAGCACTTAAAAAATGCAAGTAGAAAAATACTGGTAGGAAGGTAACAGCATTCTGTGCACCTTTGGCATTTAGTCATGCCGGCCACATGACCACGGAGACGTCTTCGGACAGCGCTGGCTCTTTGGCTTAGAAACGGAGATGAGCACCACCCCCTAGAGCTGGAAACGACTAGCACATATGTGCGAGGGGAACTTTTACCTTTAAAGTGGAGAGATTAAGGTTGATAACAACAATATTTCTGAGGACCACAACAACAGTTATTACGGAGAACCATGAGTACCACTTTGTAGACTACAATTTCTGAATCATAAAATATTCTATTATATGCCCTGCAATCCTTCTCTGATCTGACTGTAATAGCTGTTCCTTTTATAGATGGATATATAGTGGACAAGACAAATGACGTACAAGATCATAATAGAACATTATACTATTAGAGTTGCAATTTGATGTACCATATTAAGATATGCAGAATCTATTCTAAATTATATTTATTTATTCTTATATTCTTTGTCATGAGCTTTGTGCAACTTCATGAATCTGATTTTTTTCTTTAGTTCAACTTCAGCAAATATTCTTTATAAGCATGAGATGACAGCTGTGTTGCTATAAACGCTCTTTAAATTCAAAGACTCCTGTTGTCCACACAGATTAACTCAACACCTCCTCACTGAACTAGCAGAATTTGTTACAGCTATTCCTTATTTTGGTTAAGATGAAAGTGCCAGCTTGTTATATTGTTACCCTTGTCAAAGTCTCAAATATCTTTAAAAAGAAGCGCAGCCATTCATAAGCTTTTCTTGCTTTCTGTTTTCTCATTTCCTACATAGTAATTTGGGGGAAGATTGAATTAATAGTGGTGACCCCTTAACCGTAAGTGCATTATGTTCTTATTTGATGACTATGGCAGAAGGAAAAGTAGGCAGTGTAAAATATTATCTTTTACTGGCTGATAAATTATTAGAAAGTTGAAGATTTACCAGATTCACAAAATGAATAAATAGAGTTGACTTGCAGAATCTTAACTATTTTTAATGGTAGTAAAAGATCCCTTGGGATAGTCAATTATATTTTGATGGTGATGTTTTATAACTCTGTTTATCTAAATTTGCCACAGTGGTCTTATCCAGCAAGGATATAAGCTTTTCAAGGGCAGAGAATAGAAATAAGCTTTCTGTCTCCCACATTAATTGGTTTTCTCAAGATCCTCAAAAGCAAAGATTGCAAGATCTAGAAAATGGTATATCATTGGAAAGTTACATATTAATGTTAAAAGAACATTACTTAATTAACTGAATCTGGATATGGTATATCCATTTTATAGTGTATGTGGGAACTCTTCCTCATTCCCAGTTTAATTGGAATATAGTGTAGATTTCTACGCTATAAGAATCTACACTGATAGCAATTGGAATCATGGTGTATGGCTTTATGAAAAAATGAAAACGAAGTTTAGTGTTCAACTGCTATAACATATGCAAATTCCTGCTTACAGCCATTAGAAAGGGAATTGAAAATAAATCTGTCAAAACATAGGCTTATAATTATATGGAAAGACTTTTTATAAATTTATGATCATTTCATTTTTGAAAAGAATATTATAGATTTGGAAGAAAAGAACAACCAAATTCTTGGTTATAATTTATCCTCATAATATTTGGAGGATTTAGAACCTGCTAAGTGATTTTAAGTACATAGAGATAAATGCTTGTTATAAATTGATTGGTGTGTCTATGCCATATTTCAAGATTGGAATATATATATATATATTACATAGTATTCAAACAAATGCAGGCATCTGAGACCTACATTTATGTGTTTATGTGTCATGTATTAGTTGCAATGTAGAGGTTTCCTACTGGTCTTTTGCAAGAGGCTTGCAAAAGCCTCTTGCAAAATATTTCTCTACAGCAAATATTAGACTATGTGGATGTTCTATGAAATGCCTGTCAGGGTTTGTTTAGTCTGGAAGGCATATCATGAATCAGAAACTAAAAGAAACTGTGTAATATTATTGTGCTTTTCATTGATGGTTGTGATTGTAACTGAGAAATGCATGCATAACAAGTAGAAAAACATGCCTCATTTGAACTAAAATTTTAACTTGGAAAGGAATTTTCTCAGATTCTGAATCATTATGTCCTAAAAGTGAAATTTAATGCAGACATGTTTTCTTCATTTTATGGCTTTTATGGCCAGAAACTTCCTGTATTGTTCTATATATTCAGTCAAGCTTATTAAATGACATTCTTAGACAAAAGATACCAATCATGGTTTGATGTATTTAAAATACACTCTGCTTTGTTATGACAAATGGAAGCTCATATTCTCAAAACTCCATATTGTTGCTGTGTGATGTTATAAACTGTATATAAGCATTTCATCTCACCTACCACCTACTCCTAAATTCTAACTTTATCTTGATTTGTGTGACATTGAGTTGTTTCATGGAAAAATAGGCCTCTCATCAATTTTGACAGTTTGATAATAATTTACAATTTGGTCTATAGCACCCTGTCTTCAGAACACATATGTTTCTTTCTTATATACTCTGAATGATCTAGATATTTCTCTTAGATTTCAGTTTTCCCTTCTCCATATAAAAGTAAAAAAGTTTAGATATCCTGACTATGAATATAAAAGATTTTGAAATATACTTGAAATTTCTAAATGAAACATTGAAGTGTCCCCTAGAATAATATCTAAAGTAACTAAATAATACTTTGCCTGCTTCACAAGAGAGACTCTCATTGGGTTGTAATCATAATAATAAAATGTTCATGATACATAACAACAGAAACACCTTAATAGTACCTTGCTGGATCAGATCCCTGGCCCATCTAGAGAAAAGCAGTCTTTTCTCACAGTGGTAGCCAACTGCACAAGCTAGTCAACCAGTCTCCCAACCAATGGCTTTCAGAAGCAGTCACAGTACAATTAAATACATGATTTTTATGAGTTGATACAAGACTTGTTTTGAAGCCAGCAAAGCTGGTGGCCAGCACCACATTTAAAATTAAAAAAACAAATGAATTCAAAATAAAGCATTTTGAATTGCAGGTGGTAATAAATAGAAGCCAATGGAATACCAAAATAATGTGCAATGTGTTTGTGTTCAGATG